TGTGTGTGTGTGTGTGTGTGATTGTGTGTGTGTGTGTTTGTGTACATGTGGATATGTGTGCGTACATGTGTTTTATATGTTTACGTGTGTCTGTGTGTGTATGTGTGTGTGTGTGTGAGTGTGTTTGCTATGTCTGTATGTGTGTGTGTGTGATTGTGTTTTTGTATGTGTGTGTTTGAGTACGTTTGGGTACGTGTGCGTGCGTGTGTTTTGTTTGTCTTTCTGTGTCTATGTGCGTCTGTGTGTGTGTGTGTGTGTGTGAGAGAGAGAGAGAGAGAGAGAGAGAGAGAGAGAGAGAGAGAGAGAGAGGAGAGAGAGAGAGAGAGTATGTGTGTGGGTGTGTGTGTATGTGTACAAAAAAAGGATTGTTAAAAGTGCCATAAACTACCATACTTTTGTAATCTTTCCCCCCGTAGACCGACTCTGACCGGCTGCTGGTATGGCTGGCAAGGGGAAAGTGGCCACTACCATGACGAGAATGACATTGATTTCTCCACCCAAACTGACATAAAGGGAATCCCCAACCCATGGGTCATCCCTATAAATGCTCTCGAAGTGAGTAACTATTGTGGGGACATAATTATCAGTGTTGCTTTTGATGGGTACTGACAAAAGTACATAAAACATGATGCTGCTGCTTGAAGTAGGAACGACAGCGGTGATGATGGTGATGATGATGATGACGATGATGATGATGATATTTTTTTGTATGTTCCTGATGAAGTTCCTTTACAGGGGCGAAACGTTGAACGTTTATGAAATTTGGAAATTCTACCAGTCTCAACCCTTTTTTATTCCTTGCTGTTTACAATGAAGATGATGATGATGATGATGATGATGATGATGATGATGATGATGATGATGATGATGATGATGATGATGATGATGATGATGATGATAAAGAAAAGAAACATGCCGCTCTGCTGTAGAAGTCGTCTGAACGTCTCTGGGCCTACTGTAAAAAGTTATCGATTGACAATTACTCGTTCATTGTTTTTTGCTTTTTAAATAAGGAATTTGGTTTTTATGTGATTATTAACACCTTGACTAAATCTTTCTGCCATAATGTATGTGATTGACGCTCGCTTTCTACCACAAATCACAGAGGTCCATGTCGCTGTCAGCTAAAGTTGTCGATGATGAGGTGTTCTTTGACGAAGATTTAGAGTTCTGGCATACGACCTTTTCTTTGACCACTTCCAAGTCAGTGAACGAAGCCCCTTGGAAGAGGGTGACGATGACGAAGAATGACCATACGTAAGTGACGTAGTGTGTAGGATTTTTTTTTCATGTTCTTGCGTTCATCTTGTTGTGTTTTTCCTTGTTGTTGTTTTTTATTGCCGTTGTCCATACTGTTGCTGTTGCTGCCTCAGCTGTTAATGTTGCTGTTGCTGTTGCTGTTGTTGTTGCTGTCGCTGCTGTTACAGTTGCTGTTGTTGTTATAGCTCTATAAAAGTTGCATCTTCATTTATGTTTTTCGTTGCTTAAGCTATTGTTTGTTGTAGTTGTTGTTGTTGTTGTTGTTGCTGTTATTTTTCATGTTGTTGTTTATGTTTTTGTTGTTGTTGTTGTTGCCAAAGAAGAACGCCTTCTCCACAGGGTGGAGCTGAGATAGTCTAGTGGGTGTTTGGCGGGTGCTCTGGTTTGATTTGCTCCTTCTTTCTTGTCAAAAATCTATCGTCCTTATCTCCCCTTTTTCTTTTTGTGTTTGTTATTCTCTTGTGACACCTCTAATCTTTGAAACGTATATTATGGCCTTATATGGTGTTGCAAGTGCGGCAAAACACTTACTAAAAACATGATATTGTCTATATAACGAATGTCCTCCTTTGTTTCTCTTTCAAATCAGTTTAAAGTTCAGGGCACGTCAGTACTGCGAGGAGAATTACTATACATCTAGCTGTACTAAATACTGTAAGCCTCGGGATGATTCAGGAGGTCACTACAGATGTGAGGATGGAACGGGGAAACACATATGTCTTCCAGGTACCTAACCTCAGATTGTTGGAAATTACAAGAGAAAGAGAGAGAGAGAGAGAGAGAGAGAGAGA